AAGCCAAATGTCAAGAATAGTGTCCTATAGACTTATACACAAAACATAGTTCATGAAATTTTTGACCTAATGACTGGCCGAAAATTTCAAGTCACGACCCCAACTTCCAACTCATGCCATTTTCACATCAAGCATCCAATTGACCTCGTTCTTTTTGCATTGTGTTCTACTCCATTAAAGGATCATTTGGCAAAAAGAAAATCAAGAGACGCATGAGCATATTTGATTTGTCCTAAGTATGAACATGGTGGCATGAACATTGTTTTTAGTACATGACCTATAATTAAAAAGGACTCAAAACTTAACTTGGGAACCACAACACATGTGAAAACTTTTTCCCAATGACCAAACGCATATGGTACAACACAAAACGACATGATTTTCTCGGAGAATCACATATTCTATACTTCATTTCACACGATTTAGATCTAGAATTTTCCAAACTTGATTCACACGATTGAAGAGGAATTCGACACCTACCATGACCTCACTTATTCTCCTATAAATAGAGCTCACTTATACACACAAAACCAAGCCTCAAGAGCCAAAGAAACTCTACATCAATAGAACCCAAAACTCTCCAAAAACCAGAAGTTCGCTTTCTCATTTTCTCTTTGTTTCAACTTTAATTCTCCACCCAGAATCCTCCATCGGCATCATTTGAAGCTACCTGAAGCATTACAGAAGTTAGTCATGGCCTCTAAGTATCAACTTGATCTCACCATTTTCAGACCTTTTGATCTTACTTCAAACAGGTATATACGAGTTTCTCTTTCACTCAAACAAATTACCACACTCTTCGTCTTGTTCTTCTGATCAAAATCCATCACCTAACTGTGATTTATCTTTTATATTAGTCATTTAACTATACTTTGAAGTTTTTAGGATTTCTGCGTATTTATGCAAATTCTCTCTTCTTAGAGAAAATAAATTGCCCTGATGAAGAGAGACACAGGCGATGACATGAGACGAAGCTAAACCATGTGGTTTCATGGCTTGAATCTCAGAGTTTGGGAACCTGTAAGATTGGATGGTTGAAGGTTAAAGACGACCTATTTTGTGTGTTACTGTGGGAAATGTTTGAATTCATCCAATGATAAGCGTCGCATGTGCTAGCCATTGTGTTTTTTATTTATTTATTTTTTATTTGTATTCCTTTTTTTTTCAAAAATCATTTTAAATAGTTCCTTTGACCTTTTTAACTTCAAATTTTTTTGACAAAATCACAAAAATGTTTTCCATCTTATATGTTTTTTATTTCAGATTTTTAAAACCATTTTTATCATTTTTACTAATTTTTTTTGTTCTCTTTTTAATTAACTTTAAACATTTTTATTTTAATCATTTTCAAATATTTCTTATCCTAAATTTTGAGATCTATTTCCCTATAATATTTTTTATTTTTCTATAATTTTTGTAGCCATTTATTTGATGTTTTGATTATACTTTGGAATTTTCTCTTTATTTTCCATTTTAAACCATTAAAAATCATTTTAAAAAAATCATTTAAATATATTTAATTGCTCTGGATGCTTTGTACTTTTGACTTTTGGTTGAATTGGTAAACTATGGTTGATTGAATCCCATCTTGTTTAATTAGACTTTAGGTTGAATCTTAATGAACTTTCTTCATTTCAAATCTACCATTAAATGATCATTTGATAATTTTGGGTACTTTGGATTGATGATAAGTTTGTCTCAAGGCATCATGAAGAAGATGAGTTAAAGTAATGATCCAATCCCCTTGCCTTTATGATTGGTCACCTTTTTTCTTCTTCTCCTTTATTTTGTTGTGTTTTTAAATTATGGTGTTGCATTATTTTTAGAGAATGACTTTGTATGATTTCTCTAACATGTACTACATCTACATTGCTATAGGCCAACCTCAGATAGGTGCAACTTCTACATAAGTTTACTTACGATTACTTAACATAGCGCTAAATTTGTCATGAATTAGATTATTAACTACGAACACTAACATTAACTCAATATTATTATGCTAACTTTATGTTTTCGCACTTTTACATTAATGTCATTTAATTTCTTGCCCTTTTATCTTAATATCATTTATATTTTGAGCATTTACATTTCATGTCATTTTTCTTTTATGTCGTTTATTTTATACATTTTTCCTTTTTCCCCCTTGGGCGTTTCTTTTTTTTATTATCAAAAGACATTAATAAAGGAAAAATCTAAAAAACTTTAATATGTTCTTAAGGACTATTTCTTACTTTCCCCTGCTTGAGGAATTTGGACTTTGGACTTAGGATAGTTATTTTTCTTGGAGTTTTTTCATTGGAGGCCTTGAGATTCATTTGGACCATTTCATCTGATACTTTGAGATTTCATCTATTACTTTGAGATTTCATCTGATACTTTGGGGTTTCATCTGATACTTTTAAAGTTTATCTGCTTGTGTGATTGTTCCTCTATTATGCTAGACTTGTTTCTTAATCCAAAGGGAAATGAATGCTTATTTTGAACAATGACAAATGCTTGGTCTTCTGGTGGTTAGTTCACTTGCACACACAAAGGATTTCTCTTGGGCTACCTTACAATGAGACCATTTATTTCATGTCATTTATTTCATGCTTTAGGATAGTCTCTTCATCTCCTATCATTCCTTAATTTTAAAAATCTCGTCCCTATTTCAAAAACTTATTATTTTCAAACTTCACACCTTTTCTAAACTAACCTTGACTTTGTCAAGTGATCCATAAAATCCCTTTCCTAATAAATGCTAAAACACTTAAGCATAATTCAAACTCTTTCAAAACTTTTAAATAAGAAAAACCTCATCAAATTTTGCTTTGTGCCTTAGTGCACTTTTATTTTCAAAACAAACCCTTTTTCTTAAAGAAAATATATGACTCTATTCTCAAGGTTATGCAAATTTCTATACTTCTACAAGATGTTGTAAAATTGATTGACATTTTCCACTTAAATCTTAAGATATGCTTGTTGTGTTAATACAAGTGAAACTCTCCATATCAAGATTATACAAATGCTCATTTCCTCATACTTGTGGGTAGTAAGTTGAGTTTTCCACTCGAATACGACAAAATTTCCTTTTCAACTAAAATCAATCAACAAACAAAAGCACATTTAATAAACAAATGCAAGTGGTTCCTATAGAGTACCATAGATGTGAGGAGTGATAATACATTCCCCTTGCATAACCAATCATTGTACCTAAAATCTCTCATTTGTTTTGGCTTTTAAAACATTTTGAGAGTTTTTTCTATCCTTTCCCTTTTCCTTTTTGGAAACAATAAAGTTCGGTGGCGACTTTTGCTTTTTGAGTTAAGTTAATCAATAGCTTAATCTTAATTTTCCTTCCGCGACAATATGCACCAGTAAAAAACAACAAACTTCACACAAAATCATTAGATACCCTAATTTACCATTAGTCTCCCTTAATACTCAATCTTTAGAGATGAAGGTCTATAAAAATAGAAAATGACTAAGGATGAAGATGATGAACAGTACCTGAATTACTCAGAAATACTCTTAAACACAAGGTGTTAGTCAAGTGATTAGATGAATATGAATGAAAACAAATGCATAATTCTCTCAAATTTTGGTTAAATGGGTATTGGTTCTTGATTGTTATCATGAGCTTGATTAATCATGAACAACACAACAAGATTAATCAACTCACTCTCTCTAATTCACTCAAAACAACACCAATTTTCACAAGAACAAGATGCATGAAAAGAAGTGAATCTAACATAGATTTCACTCAACAAGATGTTCTAGAGCATAGGATAAAGATTCATGGTGATGGGTATAGAAAAACTATTTGAATTAAATTATCCAGAGGCAGCTCCCAATTTTCATAAGGCTTCTGATTCAAATCATGTTTTACACTTGATTCGAATCAAATAACTCAACATCCATATTTAAGAGTTATAACTTGTGATTCAAGCCACACATGATGAAATGAAAAAGTATAAACTTTCTAGGCGAAAAAATAAACAAGATCATGGATCAAATGACTCTTATTTAATTGAGCCAAGAGGGTTTTTAGTAATACAACAATATAATAGCCGAAGTGATTACAATACAATTGAAATATGAATAGAGTACAAGCGCACAAATATAAAATGAAAAGAAAATTAAAAATATTCAAATATAATCAAACATCTACATTCAAATTGGCAAAAACATCAAAAAAAATAATTGATACTATACGACACCATGACTGAAATTTTAATCTCCCCCTTTTTTATGTTTGGAAAATTTGAGATTTATTGTTAATCAATTGTTTAAAGCATTATTTGGAATTTGATGAATGAAATGAATCTGGTGAACTAGTGTACAATACTTTGCTTGAGTTGTAAAAGTTGTAAACCTTCTCGTGCATTAAACACTTAATACGCATGAATATTGATAATATCTTGATAGCTTCTCCCCTTAGAAAAATATCAAAAAGAGAGAAAACACGCAGAAACAATTGTGTCCAACATAAAACAAAAGCCAAAAATAGAATGCCATACTTAGTGAACCAAACAAGCACCATGTACACCGTATAAGAAATTAATTATCAAAAATACACAATTTTATAAAAATATTAAGAAACAAATATCATAGAGAGAATAATTGATATATCTTACATACATGACTAGAAGACTTGTCACAAGACACATAACCCAAAATATAGTCAAAGGTTGCAAAATAACTAGTCAACCAAAATAACATAAATATCCATATAATGCTAATGTTATGCTATGCATGAAGAAACTAAAAGAAAATCATGGAATGGCAGTTGCATCATCAAAAGGTGGTGCATCAACATTTACATATAGAACATGAATAAAGGGTTTTGTATCAATATCAGAAGGACCAATATAAAGGATAAAGTTATTTATACCCAAGTAGACAACAATATCTCTCACAGAATCAACTTGAGTAGTCATTCGAGCTTCAGAAGCTTACATCTCAGCCTTTAATTCAGCCTTCAACTCACTCTTCAACTTCACCTAAGTTTCTTTACTTTCCTAGGCCATATTATCAATGTGTGCCATGATTCGCTCTTCCCTAATCTGGTTGTCAAAAATCTTCCCAACCAACTCATCAATATAGGATTTCACATAAGCAAATAACAAACTAGAAAAGGACCCACTAGCATCATTAGAGGGATCCTTAATCAGATCCATAATCTTGTCATCATAAACCTTCTGGCTATATTCCTCAAGATAATAGTAGTCACCATTAGTGTCCCTGTAGTATCTCATGTTAGAAACTCCAAAGTAATCCATAATTTTAGGAGCTTTAAGTCGGTCTTCTAATTTCGAAACAATGTCATTAACCTCAAGGATCAACTGCATAAAAGAATATAAAAATAGAGGTGTCTTTGGATTATCCCTGCAATAAATCATTTGGTCGAGAATGAACTTCACCCAATTAACTTCAATACTAGACAACATAGCCTACATTAGGTAGAGGTTATTATCATCAGCTCTACCCCAATTCTTAGGTTTCCTTTACAGTATCTTGACAATAATCCAATGAAAAATCCACATATCAAACTTGACTTGACTTATGTCAAATTTTGACATGGCAGGATTATTGCAAACATACTTGGAGTAGGAGAGAACAAAATAAATTCTATCATATTCAATCGATCTCACAACAGACATATTAGGACCCTCAAATTTCATACCAAAATATTTGGTAAAATCCATGTAATTAAACCTAATTATCTTGTCCTTGAATCTGCTTTCAGTACCTCCAATGTTTTTCACAAGATTACAATAGAAATGTTTGACATTGTTAGGGTTAAACTTCTTATTCAGGCCAATAAACTGCAACAAATTGTGATTAGAAAAAGGTTTCAGAAATTTATCTTTCAATTCAACTTCAGCAGAGACATAAACATAATACTCAGGATCAACAGGCTTATTCAGAAAAAATTTCTTGGTAAACATGCAGACTATCCTCGGAAAGGTGTTTTAACTTGTGGAACAATGTATCAACAATTTGACTCTTAGAAGATTTCTTCTTTGAGACTCTTGCATCAGGAGTTTCTTTGCTAGCTTTAAATTTTGTCCTTGCCTTCTTTGGAAATTGAGGAGGAGTAGGAGAAGGCATTGGTCTCTTGGCCTGTTGCTTGTCAGAGAAATTATTTTGAGGAAGATGAGAATGCATTGTTGATGTTGAGAGAATGGGTTTTAAGTGAAGGAGTAAGAATGATGATGATTGATGAATATGAATGATGAAATGAATTTTGGATTTTGATGTTTTGAGATTATTATGATTTTTGCTCAAAAAGGTTTTTGGTGCTTTGAAATATAAATGAAGTTAGAATGAAATGAGAAAAAGTGAAAGCTGAAGGAAATTAAAAAATAAGTGTGGCTTTTCATTTTGTGATTTGAATCAAATGAAAATCTTATTCGAGTAACGAGTTTTAATTTTTATAAGAAAAACAATTTGGTTCAAATCAAGTGCCATGAATGATTCAAATAAAATTGAGAAGACCCAAAATGTTTCAAGTACCACAATTTTGATTTGAATTGGGTTCAAAATAAAAAAGTCTTAATTCGAATAATGTAGTCCGTTTTTGAAAAAAAAACTTGATAAAATGGGTTTTTCAAATTCAATTCATTTTAATGATGAAAAATATCTTTAATGAAAATAAAAAATGAATTTTAATAACATGCATGAATGAAAAAAATGAGTCATTTGAATGTATATGTTCAAAATGATTGATTAATGAAAAATGAATTTGAATTGAATGCAACCATAATTTTAATACAAGATATTAAATGATGATGCATGAATGCATGAATAATGCACATGAACGCAATGAACGGATGAAATAGAAATTAAACTGATGCATTAAATGATATAATTATTAAGGCATAAAATGCACTAACACATCACATACAAGTACATTTTTTTATACATACAACACATTTAGTTAATTGAATAAATACAACCATTCATTCACAAAAAGAAATAAAGGTGGGTTGGAACGATGATAGCAATTTAGACGGTCTAGGATTAACTTGCTGCACACGAGAAACTTTAGTAATCAACAACAAGTATATCATAATCTTTGAAATACGAAAAATCATATAATAGTTGGATAGTATCTCTTTTTTCACGTCTTGAGAATACTATCTGACTCTCCTTCATAAGGCTTCAGATGAACTTTGAACGACAATAGTTTGATTTTCACTGATTGACACAACTTGTCAAACCCAAATAACTGATTCAAATCTTTAATGATTAATATCACTTCAAGAAGTATATTCTATTCTGGAATCTTTTGTAATTTTTGAAACTTCGGAAAATCATTGTCCATAACCACAAAATTTCCTCCATCTACTTTTTACGATAATCTTGGAAGCATATGTCACTTAGAAGATGATTGTGTTTCCTTCTTTTATCTCACAAAAATTCCATCATGTTATAGTGTTAATGTACGTACATCTTCAATTAGAATCAATCTTAAGAAACCTTTAAGACATGATGTCAGGTTTCTAATTACACTTGACATACCTCAAAATGTTGTCAGTTTGATCCTGGATGAATCAAAACTTAGAGAATAAGTTAAAAACAATTAATGATTAAAGAATATACTAATAAGGTTTTAATTTGAATTAATCTATGTAATGCATTGCAATGAATAATTATACATTAGTAAATCAATGTAGTTTCATTAAAATTCATTAAATTGTATAAGCTTCCAAACGATTAGAAAAAATCGTGTAGAATTGAAGGAACCATATCCTCAACTTTTAGATTTGCAATAATTTGATCAAAAGCCCCGCTCTGATACCAACTATTGGGGTGAGAATATGGGCACAAAGAGGTTTATAAGGATGGATGGGGTTGAATAGACCATTTCCCGTTATGACAATTTCAAAAATATTTTCGGTCCCATATATGAAATAAGAGATTTTAAGAAATGCATAAGTAAAGACAAAAATAAGAGAGATTGGAAGAATATCAATGAATTAAACCAAATGAAAAAATACATGATGTTAATAAGTAGTTGATTGAATCTAATGCTAGTTAATCACAAGACAACCAAAGTCGCTTTAAACAAAGTGATTTAAAAACTCTTTACATAGGTGTTATATCAAGACATAATTGGATTCATGATATCTCAATAAGATCGATACACCATAGAAATAAGATTATACATTAAATCTCTATAAGAATAGTCTAACCTATATGGCATAAAATCAATGCAATAATGCACTTAATGCAATAATAAAATTAATGAATAATATAAAATTAAAAGAGATAAGGGAAGAAGAAAAGATACACAGAGATATATAGTGGTTCGACATTTGTACTCGCTTTGCCTACTCCACTCTTCAATGATGTTAAAAATAATTGGAAAATAATCACGATCTTCCATTATTTTGATCAGTTTTATTCAAGCATTTTGGTTACAACAAACTATCAAACGATAATTCCCTCTGTTAATGCAGACACTCAAACTGCTAACAAAAACAAGATCTCTAAAATGTCATGATCCAATAACTTTGATATCCTTAATAACCTGCTCCAAGTATTCATACACTGATTTCTAGTCTGAGCGATTGCCATTAGCTAAGCATTAATTAAACAATAACAAACTTTGTCTGTGAGAAATTTCCCCCAACTCAACCAAAGATGGATAAATTCCACCTCCTCCTTATGGACAATTTGTACTTGATATCTTCAATGTCTTCCTTGGATTATATTTAAAATCTCTTCTTGTTAGATAATCACAAATATCAAACTGCATTCATGAAATGATATTTACACCTATAACAAACAACAAACTTTACACAAAAACATTAGATACCCTAATGTACCACTAGTCTCCCTCAACACTCAATATTTAGAGATAAAGGTCCACAACAATGGAAAATGACTAAGGATGAAGATGATGAACTATGCCAGAATATCTCAAAGACACACTAAAATACAAGGTGTTAGTCAAGGGATTAAATGAATATGAATGATGAACACACACACACAAAGTTCTCTCAAATTTTTGGGTAAATGGGTCTTACTTCTCTATTATTATCGTGAGCTTGATTAATAATGAACAACACAACAAGATTAATCAACTCACTTTCTCTAATTCACTTAAAACAACAACAAATTGCACAAGAACAAGATTCAATAAAAAGAAGTGAATCTGATATGGATTACACTTAAGAAGTTGTTATAAAGAAGAAGATAAAGATTCATGGTGATGAGTATGGACACAGTAAGAAGAGAAGAAAAATTAACATCTTCGTCTCTATGGGTTTCACCCACATGTTTCATACACTTGTTACTTTCACCAAAGAAATAAATATTAAAATCAAGGATGGAAAATGGGTCTTGTGAAGCTTTGATTCAAATCAAGAAAAAACTTTGATTCAAATTAATTTGAGCAGGGCCCAAATATAGCTTCATGTAGACAGTTGATTTAAATCAGGATTTTAATTTGACATAAGGTTGTTATTGAAATCATGTTCATTTTATTATTTGAATCAAATTATCCAGAGGTAGTTCCTAATTTTCAAAAGTCTTCTGATTCGAATCAAGTTTTACACTTGATTCAAATCAAATAACTCAACATTAAAATTTAAGAGTTCTAACTTGTGATTCAAGCCACGCCTGATGAAATGACAAAGTAGCAACTTTCTAGGATTAAAAAAGCAAGAATTTCATGGACAAATGGAGTCTTATTTAATTGAGAAAGAAGGGTTCTTACTGATACAACAATATAATAGTTGAAGTGATTATAATATAATTAAAATACAAATAGAGTACAAGCACACTAATATTAAATGAAAAGAAAATTACAAATATGTGAATACAATAAAAAACCTATATTCAAATTGATAAAAAATCAAAACAATTAAGTGATACCATATGATACCCTGACTGCACTTTCAAAACTTTCCAAACTATTAGTTGTATCTCAATTAGCCCCAGAAAATGTGAGTCAAATTCTAACACTTAAGTGAAATTTTTGTGAGGAAACACATACAAACGAAAATTATAGACCAGAGGTTGAAAGTCTTGAAGCTAAATATGCAAATGTAATCATCCATAGGAAGCTTCCACTAAATCTCACTGATCCATGTAGATTCACCATTCCTTGTTCTATTGGTTCACTAACTATTACCAATGCTCTGTGTGATTTAGGAGCTAACATTAATCTGATGTCGTTGTCTATGATGGGCGAGTTAAACTGTGGGGAGCCGAAAACTGTATTAGATGATGCTAACATTAGAAAATAGATAAATCACATACCCATATAGAGATCTTGAAGATGTTCTTGTAAGAGTCGGTGAGATAGTTTCCCATGAGACTTTGTAATTCTAGACATGCTTGAGGATTCTAAAACGCCATTACTCATTAGAAGAACATTCTTGGCAACAAATAAAGATCTCATGGATGTAGCAACGAGGGAGTTAATATTGAAGTTTAGCAATTAAAATTTTGGAAGCATCATAAAGAAGACTCCCAATGTTACAAGATAGAGATGACAAAAGAAAAATCCAATAGGTATCCCAGTAAAAACCAGGTGAGGATAAAATATCAAGTGGAAAAAAAGGTTATGCTATATAAATCTCACATAAATAACTTTTTATGTAAGTTAAAGACCATAGGATCAATTCCTTTTATTGTTAACAAAATCCCTGCAGATAGTATGGTGGAAATAAAAGATCCAAACGATTCAAGCACCTTTGTTGTGAAGGGAAAAAGACTAAGAGATTATTCATAAGAAAGAATCGCATTAGAGAAGGCATCTCTGATGCTCACCGATCCATAGACAAAAGATTCAAGCTAATAACCTTAAAGAAGCACTTAATGGAAGGAAACCCATCAAACTTCAATTTATCGTAATTTAAAATTCATGTGTTCTACTATATCGTTTATTTTATTTTACAATAATAATTTGTTAATTTTGTAGCATGTTATTAGAAAAGGAGTTTTGATACAAAAGTAAAAAAAATAATCAAGTGAAAAGGAGAAAATATGAAAATTAGACGAGAAAAGAGAAAAAATCTATTGGATTCCAAGTGCGCGTGATGCTTCAATCGTGGTCACATTGGAGTCTCATCACTGTCGTGACAGATCTTTACATGATCGTGATGGAGACGTTGGGAATGAGATGTTAAGATGGCCTTTGGGACCTATCGTTG